CTTCAGAAGTAGCCAGACGTAAAACAGCTTCTATCGTAGGCTTTGTAGGCACCTTATTTATAAGCGGCCATTTTGATTTCATCCTTTGAAATGGCCAGAAATTTAAGAGATTTACCATCACGTTTACGGCAGATGACAGACGCCAGACTGAGGTTGTGAGTTTTTCATAATAATTGTTTGGGATTACAGTTAACCCTCTTGTAAGTTACCCCTCACTATAACCGGACACCTAGAGTTGGTCTCTGCCTTTCTTTATCGGTCAGTGTAAAACACAGACTGTGGACTATCAATTTCACCATGCAATTGAAAACATGACAACAATAATCGACATAATCCCATTGTTTTCTAACCTTAAAAACAATGTGAGTGAGTGAGTAACTTTATTTAATCAGGGTAGCCCGTTCAGCAGCGAGGCTGGTATCCATAGGGGCCTTGAGAAGTAAAAAAGTATACTATTGAAAAATTCGTAAGGTATATATATGATTAAAATAAACAATAATACTGTGAAATATCTAGCTAGGTCAATATAAAAAGTGTTTGCTAAGAGATAAGAAATTAAAATTGTAAGGTAAAATGCTCGGTCAGCATCTTTTTAAAACTATTAACAGACGTGGCACTTTTAACGTAATTGGGTGAAGAATTGAAATAAATAGCCCCTGGATACTTAAAAGTTCTTTTGCCCATGCTACTTTTGGGCTTTGGTGGGTGCAGGTCGTTTAACCTCCTAGTTGCATAATCCTGCAAATCTGCATTCCTTGTAAAATATTGCATAAGATACTTGGGTACTAGATTATTCAAACACTTAAGAACTAGAATGAATTTATGCATTTTTCTTCTGGAAGCTAGATTTAACCAGTTTAGCACACAGAAAGTGTCATTTGAGGTGTTCTTTCGTAATATAATTCAAGCTGGACGTTTTTGTAGGCGGTGTAACTCTTTGCAACACCCCTGTAAGATTTCCCCCCGCACAACATCAGCATAGTCAAATGATGGCTGCAAGAGTGAAGTGTATACCTGTCTAGAGGCTTCCAGTGTAAGGCATGATTGTACATGAGACAAAAGCCCTAGACTCCTACTGACTTTGCTGTTTACATACTCGACGTGATCTTTCCAAGAAAGGTTCTCATCTAAAACAACACCTAAATAGCTAAATTTAGCTACTCTTTCTAAAGTCTTTCTGTATAACTGTATACAATAATTTGGTGATTTGGCAAGATTCTGTCAACTTCCAAAGATCATTGATTTTGTTTTACTCTGATTAAGGATAAGCCTGCTACATGTACTTTCCATCCATTGTACAACTCGATTTAAATCATCCTTTACTACTCTGTCTATTTCCGATGTGCAAAGATTCATAGAATACATTACTGTATCATCGGCATAGAACATCAGAAAAGAACAGTTTTCTAAACACTGGGGCAGGTCATTAATGTATAAAACAAAAAGCAGAGGCCCCAAATTGAACCCTGAGGGACGCCAAATGGATGGCTTGTGTTGAGGACTCGTCATTTCCAAATTGCACTCTTTGAGTTCATTTAGTAAGATAGTTCCGGAACCAGTCCAGACTACTTCCTCTGACTCCGTAGTGTTCTAGCTTAAAAAGCAAGTATTCATGGTCGACCAAGTCGAAAGCTTTTTTCAAGTCAATATACACAGCTCCTGTAATCATTTGCCTATCCATATGTTCCAAAATATAATCAGTGAGGTAAACTATTGCAGTTTCAGTAGAGTGCTTCTTTTGAAAACCCGATTGGTAGAATAGCAATAAGTCATGTTCTGTTAAAAAAGCCAAGAATTGTTCTTGAATAGCACGCTCCATAATCTTTGATACCAGGGAAAGAACTGAGATTAGTTGGTAATTATTGACATCGTTCCTTGCTCCTGATTTAAAAATAGGTGTTTCTCTTGCGTCCTTCCACTCAGCTGGAATAAGTCCTGTTGAAATAGTAAGGTTAACCAGATACATCGATCATCGGTTTAGCGATAACTGGAGCTGCGTCCTTCAAAAGTCTTGCAGTGATACCATCAAGACCCTAGGTTTTAGTCACCTTGAGTTTAGACAGCTCCTTCAAAACAAAGTTAGTTGACACCTTTTGAAGAACAAAGTTTTGCACAACTCTTGGAGTTAAAGTATCAGGCAGCCTGGTCTTACTTTTGTGATGACCACATAGTTTCTCAGCAGTTGAGGTGAAAAACTCATTAAAGCTAGTAGCCATTAAATTTTCAGAGGCTGGGGCATTCGCAGTTTTGTGTTGCTTCTTGTTTGGTAAAAGCTTGTTCGGAGTAAAGATCTCATGTGGACACAATGATTGACTACTGGAGCTTACAATCAGCTGCAGTCATAAATAAATCCTTAAAAGAATTCCATGCGTTGTCAGGGTTTGCTTCAAGTTCAATGATATCCCATGGGATACGATTTAAGTCTGCTCTGAATAATTCAGGATCATAATTTTAATAGTTTTTCGTCTTCACTGTCTGTCCCCTGTCTTCACTGTTGGTCGGGGAAATTTTAATCTGTGAAGCTTTCTGATACCAATCAAAGGCTCCTAGGAGCAAGCTCATGGATGAATTGAATTACTGTAGAAAAGACAGTTCAATAATCAAAGAAAAACATATAAATCTTTTTGAAAGGTTCATTGTGTACGGACTTGCCAAAATACAAAAATTTCTACTTGCAAAGCAAAGATCACTTTTTAAAAGCAATTATTAACACTTTTAAGTTGTAAAATAATTTGCTTTCTCATGTGACTGTCAAACACTTTCCGAACGACAGTGCACTTTCTTGTAAAATAGCCAACTTTTACATACACGAGTTAAACCGTGGTTTTAAAAGTGCGATGCTTTCAAATAAATGTTTCCATATGATGAGTACGTAACGGTTAGTATATGCAGTACGAGCTATATTAAATACAGAATACAAGCGTTTATGGCTAAATTGAGGGTGCGTTCGATTGGGAAATCTGGATTTAGATTTTAAAATCCGGATTTCGGATTTGCAATCGAACGCGAAATCCGAAAACGGATTTCAACGCTGAGATATCTGTTTTTGGATTTTCATTTTTACCGTTCGATTGGGAAATCAGAAAAAGGATTTGAAAAACTGTCCTTAAGAAAAGCGGTCTTGCACGCGCACACATACTTAGCAAAAAGAAGACCACTGTTCACGAGAATAGTTTTGCAAATCCTTTTTCGGATTTCCCAATCGAACGGTAAAAGGGAAATCCATGAAATCCAGATTTGGATTTCTTAATTGAAATCCACCCTGAGGACGGATTTCTCGGAGGTGAAATCGGTTTTCGGATTCCTCAACGTCACTTTAACAATTTGAGGACCGTTTTTTTGCAGTGATTATAAGGCTCTTTTGCTTATTCGCTTTTCTCTTGACGAAATCTCATTGTCAGGCTGCAATAGCTCTTTCACACTCCTGTTGATCGCATCTTCTCCATATCAAGTATAATATCGGGAACAAATGTGCACAATTCGTCCAAATATACAACAATGATCCACGCTCAATTATTTCAATTATTTCAAAAGAATTAAATTTGCGGCTAAAGTACTAGTGGCGTTAATAAGCCGTGTAGCTAGAACAAACTTTAAACTTGCTGCCATCCTCAATGTTGGTATGTGACTTAGCTTGGTTGTCTGGGAGAAAGAAAAGTTTATATTCACTTGAGTTATGCATTTTCCAGCTTCCAAAAACTGAAGGCTGACCTGTTTGGCTGCCATATGTGGCTCTCCTGATAAATGGAGTACTGAATATTACACAAAGTAGGAGGTAAATTGCCACAGAGCTGCAAGAACACGACTGACCCACCATGTTGTTCATGCCTATTTGAACAATAGTCCGCAGTCTGCATTTTACACTGCCCCCTTTCTTCAATTCTTTTAGTTGACTCATCACAGACACATGCTCTAAGTGAACCCATTCACCTGTGGAAATCTTGAAAGAATGTGGATCCATAATGGGTGGTTATGGGTGGATCTGATGTGAATGAGTTAATACTGCCAAATTCCCATGACCTGTTGAAGGTCTTTCAGTGGATTCCACTATTACAAAATAAATTGTGGACTCATTGGAATATACAGTTTGTAACAAATAAATTACTGATTTTCTCAAGTGAGCACCCAAAAATTATGTCTAATAGAAAGGGCACTTATTTGGAAGAGGTCACTCAAATTAAGTTTTCTTTGCCAGAAATTGTTACTTTATTTTAACTAAATTTTTAATAGAAAAACAACTTAAAATTACATCATCCATGTAAATGTTAATTCAATATTTTTGCCTTTCATTTGTTAGAACGATGGTTGCAGGTAATCAAATTTACCATAAGCCCATTACACACTGAACACCTTTAAATGTATTGGTGTGCATGTTTATTATTGCATTACTATCATCATTGATTCTCTCATCAATTAAGTGGAAATAGAAACATGTTTTCCATGTATCTGTACTATTTAAGAAAGTGAAGGGTGGGATGGAGGGGGAGTTTATTCAAGAGGGGGACTTGTTTGATATTATGGCCCACAATGTGGGTACCTTTTTGGGGGAGGCCGCTTATTAGAGACTGAGCTTAAAATGTGGCAATATAAATATCGAAGTTCTGTACATGATACAAGCCTGAAGCTACATGTACAAACCATCATAGAATTGAAGTAACTCAAGGAAGGTGTTACAAATATGAATGGAAAAAGATTCCTTTTTGAAATCCTGGAGATGGTCACAGTTGCAAAGCTCACTAATCAAATACCCTGCTATAGAATATCATGTATGTCTTGGCTGGGTATTGGGTGGAGGGGGGAGGTTTATTGACTAGTGAATGACCATAGCATCAAACAGGCAGTGCAACAGCTCTGGTTCTCAAGCAATAATAATATGTAACTCAGGGAAAACTGCTCTTTGTCTTGACACTTGGGCCTTGATTTTATTTTATAGGTTACTGCTACCGATCAATTCAAATTTCATGATGTGTGGGTTTCAGAGGTCAAGGATCCATGTACCAAGCTTTGGTAAGACGTTTTGAATTATTTAATAATTTGCCACAACCAGAATGTTATTACCGCAGAAAGAATGTTTGGTCTTATAACATTAAAATAAATTCCTTGTGGCAGTGGGCGATGGGGAAGGAGAGGGACCCTGAAGGGAAGTTTGAGTGGGGGTGTACTGCCATCCTATTTAAACAAAAAAACCCTTCTCTTCCCGACCTTGTTAAAATAAGGAATCTCATATTTTCATGACCCTTGTCCATTTCCTAAAACTGGGGAATGTACATCTCAGTATCCTCCAGACATTGAAGTCCAGGACTCCCCTCCTTGTGTCAGCATACCTGTGAGTAATACTCATTCAAAAGCATCATTAATGCTAAATAAATTTAGGATGAAAAGAGGTTAATATTCTGAAAAATACACCTTTAAAAGGAATGAGATTGTTTATGTGTAATGCAAATTTACAAAGTGCATGTACCTCTACTTCATCAATATCTTACATTGTGGCTTTTTATTTTGGGTTTTTTAATTTTAGTGGTTTCTTTCAAGATCCACATACTGCTGTAAAGAGTAAATGTGCCCCTCCTTTCTCACTCCCCCCAGTTATAAAAACATTACTGTAAAAATAACCTCCACTGTAGTAAAAAAACTGGTAAAACCTGTCAGTGAGAACAGATTTTACCAGTTTTTAAGTTAGTTTGGGTTTAGAGTTCTCTCTGTTTTAATACCTAGCCCTAATTGATCAGAGGAAACAAATGAGATTCTGGTTTACTTTCAGAACAGATTTTACCCAGAGCATTCAAATGATGGCTGACCTGTATTTTGTTTTGCAGTCAAACCGGGAAAACCGTGGACACCAGGAATATTTCTGGAATGTTATTGTGTTCCAAGAAAATAGCCAATCAGGCATGAGAAATTTAAACTGCAAGCAAGGTCATTATTAGTTTGTGGTGTTGTGGCCAGTTCGGGTGTGTTGATCTTTGCTGTGATTGATCATAACACAATAAATATTCCTGAGATATTTCAAGTGTTCATGGTTTTCCCGGTTGCACTGTAAAGTCCTCATTTAAAAAATAAGCAGTTTTACAGTCAGATGGAGAAAAACCAGTCCAGACCAATCCTAAAAGTTTGTTCTTGCAAAATAATAATACAAAATAATATTGCTGTTCACAAAATTAAACTGCGACAAAAATAACATGTCAAATGGTTGTTGACAATATTTCACAATTTCTTTTTTTGTTTGTATTGTAGTGTTGATGTCTGCAGTGTTGAAGGATTTTTAGGATTCCTGTGATGTCCAGGCTGATGGAGGTAAGAAAATTGATTCTGTTAGTTACAGTTGTATAGTGTTAGTTTAGTGAAGGTTGCTTGTTCTTGATACAATTGAAGGGTTTCCTGAAAAAAAGGTATAATTTGATTATCAATAAAAGCAGATTACACCCATTTTTAAGGAAACCCTCCGATTGTATCTTTACTCTTAGAGCTAGCTGAAAGGTTTGAGGTTAATGAGAAAAATGTTTGAGTTGTGGTTCTGAATTTGCTGTTGAAGAGGTAATGATCAGATCATGTCAGAGTCTTTGGACCAGTGAAGTTCTAATTTTAGCCCAGGATATAATGTATCTGTTCCACCAACTGATTTTCTTAAACAAGAAATCATTTCTTACACTATGTAGCTTCACCCAGATCATTTACTTTGTGTTTAATGGCAACATACAGCTGTACTTCTGGAGGAAATGCTATGGTAGATAGGGTTATATACATTGTGCTTGAAAATTTGATCATTACCCTTAAAACAACAGCATTATGCCTAAAATAAATTATGCTCGAAAAGTAGCATTTAATGCTTCAATGATCTTGGCTGTATTTAAAGCCCTTTTCCATCCCCGCAGATTTGAATACAACATTTTATTGCATCAAATACAATTTCAAACTGGCAGCCATAATGGGTAGACAATTAACCCGTCGTAGCAGCCTAACAAAGTGATGCAACGGTGCAACAAGACATTGAAAGTAACTGAATCAGCCTTTGAATATGTTAATTCTCACTAAAAGCACTTGGAAGTAAAAATGTCTCAGTACAGTTGTGGTAATATTATTATTATTATTATTATTATTATTATTATTATTATTATTTTATTATCATTCTCTTTATGCTGAAAAGTGGCCATTATGCTGGTATTACTTGATGCTCCAACTATAGCATTATGAACAAAATAATGCTGGCATAATGTACCTAACCAGGCTTAGTGGTGGACTTAAGCATCCCTTTCAGGCAGGTTGGGGGCGATGTGTGGAGTTCTCATACTTCTTGGTGCTTCATGCTTCACCAATCAAGATACGCCCTTACTGTGCAGGCCCTTTGGCTTGTTTTAAGTATCTCCTCTCCCATCCATGGGAGGGGACTACCATCAAATCCAAAGAGGGGGAGGGGGTGGAGTTGTTATATTCCTTTCTTGTTGCTTCACACTTCACCAATCAAGATAAGCTCTTGCTGTGCAGGCCCTTTGGCTTGTTTTAAATACCTGTCTTGTCCATGGGAGTAGACCACCATCCAATCCATTAAGGGGAGAGGGGGTGGGGGTGGGGGTGGAGTTGTAATGTTCACTCCATGGTGCTTCATGCTTCACCATTGCTTTCCAGGCCCTTTAGCTTGTTTTAGGTGCATCTTTTGGAATGTAGAAAATGAACCACTAAGCTTGCTGACCCCACCCCCCCCCCCGACTCAAGAAATTATTTCTTAGTGTGGAACTCAGTCCAAGCACATGCAGAAAGGTGTTTTTAACCCATTCGCTCCTGGAGATTTTGCCGAAAAACGCGTTTTGAAGCTAGTCGAGTGGTTTTCTGGTCACTGTCGTGCTATAAAGAGCTAAAACTTACCACAAACCGGTTTACAGGTCGTACACTTGGCGGCCTTCTGATCCAGATGCAAAATATCAGCTTGCGAAGTTCGGGCATGCGCAGAAAGCAAAATTTCGAGGGGGTTTCAAAGTGACACAGCAGTCTTGACTTTTACTTTTTGCTTTCTATCCTCCCTTCTTTTTTCGCTTTTCTTGCCTCATTTTTTTTTTTTCTCTTTCTGGGCATTTAGTAGGCTTCATTTTGGTGGAAAGAGTTTTTAGGAAAGCTTTTAGGATCTTAGGATTAGGTGAAAGGAAAGGTAGGTGGGTAATGGAACAAGATTTTCATGAGGATTTTCAGGTCCTTGTCACGTGGTTTTTTGCTTCTTTCTCCGGTGTCCTTGACTGAATTGTGCTCATTCTGGTATGGTTTGAAAGATCTCTTCACTCTGCACAAGTTAGCGAAGAAAGTTGTCCTTGACTTTTAAAACTGATGACGTCACAAAGGGTAGAAAGGACCTGGATCCACACGGGCGGTTACGGGCGGTTCAGGGGCGAATGGGTTAAGACACTCTTAGCAAAGTACCTCATCTCAGTCAAATTTACATGAAAGACAATTATTATTATCCTTGAGTTTTTTAACTTACATTGTGTAATTACAGTTTGTATGAATTTAGTAACGCGTTGTTTAAGTAAACCCTTTAGTAAATTAATGTTACTCTTCTTTTAGGATTTGTCATCCTTTCCTAGCACCGCCTCTACATCACAGGAAGACTATGAAAGCAATGTAGGATCCACTTCTTCGAGGAAATTAAACGTTACTCTGTTAAGCAGTGAATGGAGGTCAACAAAAGGAGGCTTGTCGACCCTCAACCGAGAGCTGGCCATTCAGTTGGCAAAACATCCCAGTGTGGAAGTCAGTGTTTATCTCCCTCAGTGCAGTGAGGAGGATAAACGAGTTGCTGCAAGTCACAATGTCCATCTCATTGAAGCAGAAGAAAGGCCAGGTTTTGACCCGGTGGACTGGCTGTCCTTTTTACCAAAAGACCATGCTGTGGACTGTGTGATAGGACATGGAGCCATTCTTGGTCGGCAAGTGCAGGGTATAAAACGTGATTGTTCTCGTTGTAAGTGGATTCAGGTTGTTCATACCGCTCCAGAGGAACTTGGAATGTACAAAGAATATGACGAACGCATTTCCAAAAGTCAAAAGAAACACCAAGTGGAGGTTGAACTCTGTAAACTGGCTGATCAAGTCGTAGCAGTTGGACCCAAGCTAGCTGATGCTTTCCAAGGTTATCTCCGTTCGTGCGAAAAACATCAAGATGTTCTCAATCTTACCCCAGGCATTTTCTCTGAGTTTGCTGATGTAAAGCAAGCCTCTCAAGAAATAAGGTCGTTCAGTGTTTTGGTGTTTGGACGTGGCGACAGTGAAGATTTTCAGCTGAAGGGGTATGACATTGCTGCCCAAGCCATTACTGATTTGAAAGACGTGACCTACAAACTTGTATTTGTCGGAGCAACAAGTGGAGAAGAAGAGCAAGTAGCCGACTTGCTACTCAACCAAGGCATAAATCGCAGTCAACTGAGGGTACGTCGTTTTAATGAAAGCAGAGAGCAGCTTGCCCGATTGTTTTGTGAAGTAGATCTTGCTATAATGCCATCACGAACTGAGGGCTTTGGTCTTGCAGCCCTTGAGGCTTTATCTGCTGGTCTACCTGTGCTTGTCAGTGGGAACTCTGGTCTTGGAGAAGCTTTGAAGAAAGTTCCTTTTGCTTCAAGTTGTGTGGTACAATCAGAAGACCCTAAAGATTGGGCCAATGCAATCAAAGCTGTTCGCGAGAAAGACCGAAAGTTGAGACTTCTGGAGAGCGAGATTATTCGAGAACAATATGCAAATATGTACACCTGGCAAGATCACTGTAATAGACTTGTGGAACGAATGCTTGCCATTTCTCAAGGTAACAGGTTCACTTTGAGATTCAAATTGGTATTTTGTGTTGTGGACTGCTCACGTTAGAAAATTAGGAAGTTTACGAAATTACAACCTTGACAACAGTTAAAACCTCACTTCATCACGATTATTCCAACTAGAACCCTTTCTAAAAAGGCGTGCAAATTTTCCAAAAATAACAAGGAAAAAAAATGTTGTTGTGTTCTCGTGTTCTTCAGAAAAGCTAGAGCCGTGAAGCTTTCAGAAACCTCTATTTTCATTGGCCTTTGAAACACACTTGCTAGTGTTTTTAGTGCGAGAGACTTTCATAATTGAGTTATTTATCTATAAGTATTGTTAGCTGATTAAAAGATTTGTTTTGAGAGCTTCGTGGTTGAATTAGGAAACTGCAAAGAAATTTATCAAAAAGTTTGCTGCATGCATATGTGCACAGAACTCTTTTTTAAAGAAAAAACTGTCCCTTTTGTTGTCGCAGTAGTTTCGAAAGCCCGGTTTCCATATAATCATCCAGATTACCTTCATCTTATTGCCATCGATTGAGTTAGGGTTTGGCATCTTTATTCCGCTTGCGGCCTTACAGCCCAAACAAAAACTAAAAAGTGCACATGGAGTGAAGCAGTCACGCGCGATTAATCCTGCCAGCTACACAAGCTACAGAGTTATTCTAAGGTTTATCCAGTCCTATGACTTTCATCATGCTGAATTTTGATACATTGAATCGGAGAGTAGGCTATCGAAAATGGCTTTGAACTCGTTATTAACACTAACTTCCGTTCAAATAACTGGCCTGTGACTTTGGTAAAGAATGGCGTTACTATTTTTTTGTAGGTCCTAATGAAGATGAGCAGCATTTATCTAAAGAAGCCTCTGTTATAGGTCAAGATGAAAAACCCTCTTCTTCAGAGAAATCTCTCCATAAAGGTATCCTGGAATCTTAGATATATTACATGTTATAATATTATTTACAAACTAATTTATTTCTAGTAGGAAATGTACTGTAGTCTAAAATATTATGAGCTTAACCTGTGATGAAGCTTTCTTTTTAGGGGGAGAGAGATAGCGTGAAAGTCGGGGGACAGGGAAAGGAAGAAAACTAACGTTTCTCCCTCACCAACAAAACAAACAGGGAAGAAGCACAGCCTGATCGCAGGTTAACAAGTGCAGGTTGTGTGTTTTTTCGAAATCTACAGTGTAACAACAACAAAAAATTTTCTAGCCTGCAGTGCAGGCGTTTTCTTTGAGCGCTCAATTTGCTCGTGAAAGTGCCATGTTGAAACTTCCCGAAGAGAGGAGGAAATAGGGCGAGTCAAAGGGAGCTGGGAGGGGGCGGGGAGAGAGAAGAGAAAACCCTCCCCCCTTTCCTTCTTTCGCCCTCACACCTACGATAAGGGTTCATAAAATCAAAGATGGCGGCAACAACAACATTACGAACATGAACAACGTTTCGCCCACCCAAAATACACCTGCACTGCAGGCTAGGAATTCTCGAAACACTGAACAAGACTCATCTTAAAAGAGTCAAAACTCTTTAACACTGTTACTTCTTCAGTTGCTGATAACAAGACTCGTTTCAGGAGAGCTTTGTCCGTTGAAAAATACAGTTGCATTTACATGTACAACGTACACGTTTTACAACCTACAGTAATGCTCCATGATGTATGTGACAGAAGTCAGTGTTGATCATTTCAGTCACGATGTGCATCTTGTTTGGTATTGGATGCTGAAATTCGAATGTTTCATTTCTAATTTAAATGTGGATAATTAACTTTTGGACACGGTTTATGAAACTTCCACATCCCTAAATTTTTCTTAATTTGGGGGCCTTAGACAGATCTGTCCTTTAATGATGTTTTTCGCTTAAGCCTCAAGCAGGATTAGTTGTCAGGTCATGTAGCATAAACCATACTTTTAAAAAGATGTTGTCTTTGGCACAGTTATTTGAACATGAGCCCAGTAATTTATTATGATGTTGGTAATTGCCGGATTTGATTTCAGGCGCAGCAAAGAGACCAAGGTCCTCCAAAAAAGGCAAAAGGCCGTTATCTTCAAGAAATACTCCAGCCCCCAAACATCCGAGACTGGTGGGAGATGAAGGTAAAGTTTTTCTTTTTCTTTATTGAGAGTTAGGGTTGGTATCTTGTTGCATGTATATGAGAGAATATGATCAACTTTCTCAATATAGCATAGAAGGGCCTTGCGTCGTCGGTCTTACATTCCCTAACCACAGCTTCATAACCTGCATACCTGACGAAATATAGTGGTAATGCTTGTGGTGTCGCGTAAGCTAAATTCCTGCAAGCTATGCAGGGGCTTAACCATTTAGCATCCGCCCGCGAGAAGTTGCGAATCTATTTCAAGCCTTCTCTTTTGCTCTCTTTGTTTTCCCTTTGCCTTTCATTTACATAGCCAGCCAGCTTTCTTGCCCACCATATCGTCTTTTTTCTGCATGGAATTGCGGCTGGCTAACTTTCTAGAAAAGAGGCAAATTGAATCTGCAATCTGGATTTCTCCCAAAAATGTTACTTGGTTCTTTGTGTATAATATTTTTGTCAGGATTGGTCAGAATTTCCAAAATGAGGTAACTTGTGGAAAGAGCTATCCTTGCTTATGTTACTTCATGCAAATATTATAATTTAATAGGAGAATTTAAAATGGCCTTCCTTCTGACTGAGGTAAGAAGAACATGAACATCTTTAGGCTTGTTTTATTGACATAAATTTCCTGATCTTTTTGTTTCCAGCAGTTTGGGACAACTCGGTTGTGAAATTGCTCAAAGCTGAATACAAAAGGCGCTCTCAGTTAAGACCCCTTCTTTGGGACAACACCATCGAGTTACCCCTAGAGAATGTCTACACGAGACTGAAAATCATTTCACGACGAAAATTGGCCATCCAGATAAAAGACGATAGGGTGAATGCTTTCAGCATCTTCAAAGTTCCTTTTAAAGGTTCGGACAACACCATCGAGTTACCCCTAGAAAGTGTCTACACGAGACTGAAAATCGTTTCACGACGCAAATTGGCCATCCAGATGAAAGACGATAAGGTGAATGCTTTCAGCATCTTCAAAGCTCCTTTTAAAGGTTCGGATGTCATGACGCTAACAAGTGGAAGTTCAGATATGCACGTGGGCAAAAGTGAGGCAAATGTGTTTGACGTCTTCACTGTTCCTGATAAAGCTGAGGATGTCCCGACGCCAGCAGAAAAAGGAAACGCACACTTACCGAGAGAAAATGACGAGGTAAATGTATTTGAAATCTTCAAGACTCTTGAAAAAGGTGAGGATGTTATGACGCTAGTAGAGGGAAGCCCCGGAATCGGTAAAACTACGTTTTGCCTCAAACTTGCTTATGACTGGCCACATGGAAAAATCCCATCAGAGTGCTCTTTTCCCAAATTTGAGTTTGTGTTGCTCCTCAAATGTAGAGACATTGATGGAAATATAATAGATACCATAAGGGAACAACTTCTCCCCAGAGATATCGACGAGGAGACTGTAGAGAAGTTTTTGCACTTCATGAAGGACATTCATAACCAGGAGAAAATTTTAATCATTTTGGATGGTTTAGATGAGCTGCCTGAAAAATCTCAGTGTCATGTGGATGAGCTGCTTCACCGAAGAATTTTACCTTTCTGTTATGTTTTGGCTACTTCGCGACAAGAAAGAGGTATTGATGTACGAAAGAGATTTGTCTTTGACATTCATTTGGAGATCAAAGGATTCACAGAAGGCGATGCTTTTGAATATATCAGAAAACATTTCTCAAATATTGGTCGAGGACATTCACCAAAGGGAGAGAGACTCATAACAGAAATAAAAGACAACAAGTTTTTGCATGCTCTCCGAAGCAACCCCCTTAATTTACTCCTTCTCTGTGTAATCTATGAGGATTATGAGGGAAAGCTGCCATCATCCCGTTCTAGGCTTTATCAAGTTATTGTCCTTTGCCTTTTAAGACGATACTGCGCTAAACACAACCTGCAAGCCCCCGAAGGTGATGACGAGTTAGAGAGGTATTTTGAGAAGGACATACTTGCACTAGGAGAGCTAGCTTGGATGTGCCTGCTGAGTGGTCGTCATGGTTTCCGTGAAAATGAATTAGCTGAGCTTGAAAGAAGATACAAAGGATTGGTATCCCGTCACATAGGCCTAGTTTACAAGGAAGAAAGTCTGAAGAGGTTAACACCTCAACATGAGTACTACTTTCTTCACAAAAGCTTCCAAGAGTACTTGGCTGTGGTGTATGTTTCGCACAAATTAAGAAGAAATCAATTGAATTTGTTTGAACATTTAAGCTTCGATGATTTGGTGGGTAAATATCGTCAAGTCTTTCTTTTTGTGTCTGGTATACTGGGGATGGATGCCAGTGTTCTATTCGCCCAGATTGGTGAGGAGCTGAAGAACCGGGGAGGATGGAACTGGAACAAATGCAGAGTAGAGAAGAAGACGCGAGGTGATCTTCTTGAGCGTCTACAACTCTTTCTTGAAGAGCATCTAGAACTCGTTTTTAAACGGGCAGGTTTGACAACAGCAACATTCCTTACCGAAAGCTTCAATGAAAGTGGACATGCTGAAAAAATGGCAGTTACTCTTTGTTCCTATATACCCTTCCCACAGCAAGTTGACGCTGACCTCTCCAGTGAGGAGACGTGCAATATAGTTCACGTTTTAGAGGCATGCAAAAGCTTTCATAATTTACCGAAGCCAGTTAAACTTACCGTTCGTGCTAAAACGCAAGATACATGTCGCTATCAGAGTATTGCAGGGTACATACAATCCTGCCCAAAGACACAGAAACTTAGCCTTTTTACCCCTGTAGTTACATTAGACCTAGCCAAGGCGCTATGCGACGGCCTGTTTGGAAACACGACTTTATCAGAGTTTACCCTACAAATTTCTGACAGCATCCCTTGCAATGCAGCTGTTTTAATCGGTGAATTGTTGGCTGCACGCAGATCCTTGAGAAAAATAACGTTTCAACTTGACAGAGTGTGGGATGAGAATTGGGCCAGTGCTATTGAACCAGCTTTGTTTGCGGACACTCCTTTGAATTCTGTGGACCTCCAGGTTCGTGGATCATTGAGTGATACTGCGGTCCATGGTTTAGGAAAGCTTTTATCAAATAAAGCTTTGGCCTCATTTTCCCTTAATATCTCTGGAGATGTGCAGGAATTTGTAACTGCTGTTATTAGCAGAGAAATTGCGCAACAAACCGCCCTCAAGTCATTGGCTTTCAGCGTTGACGGCAACCTTAGTCTCTCTGGTGTGAATGCTCTTCAAAACAGTCTTCTAGAAAATCGTTCTTTAAGTGATTTAGCATTGACTCTCCGTGGAGAGATTCCTGACAACTGGCAGTCTGTTGTGGAAAATCTTTGTTCGGTAAAGAAGGGATCAGTTATCTGTACTTTTCATCCAGACCCTGGCAGCAGTGTTACATGTAATCAAGTGGTACATTTTCGTCCTGCTATGGTCGAGATGGGGTTAGAAACAAAACAACACTTTACTGTAGTTCTTTGGGGAGAGTTGAAGTGTGGTGGAGCAGAAGATTTATGTAAGATCTTGGTGCGTGTTCCCCTCACAAGCCTGGCTCTGAAAGTGCATGGAAAATTAAGTGGTGGTGTTGCTAATATTATTAAAAGATATATCGGACGACAAAATACACTATCCGCCCTGACAATTGATACTTGGAGAAAGTTGGCCCCGGGGACAGGAACCCTACTTCAGGAACTATCAGATAAAAACGTAACTGTTCAAGTAAAAGAGCATGGCGTCTCTGTTGTTCCTAAGGAAGCGTGTAATGCTCTTGATGTCTCTATTGACAATCCTGCATCGCTGACACCAATGTTCTCTGAAGTTAAGAATACCAGAAAGGAGAGAATCAATCTTAAAATAATTAACCACGATGAAGTAATTAGTGACTGGCCACGTCTGCTAGGTGATGCTTTGGCAGAAAACACATCGCTTACTACGCTGGATCTTACAGTGATCAACTACACAATGAATCCAGGAATAGGGAAAGACCTCGGGGATAGTTTGCTGCGAAGTTCTTCATTGACAGTTTTAAGTCTTACAATCAGAAACTACAGTAACATGGGAGAAGGCTGGGAATGCACGTTGGTCAACACCTTGGCTAAAATGGCGTCATTAACTACACTTAGTCTCTCAATTGACGATCGTGGCGAGGTGAGGAAATTTGAAGAAGATTTGATGCCAGTGAGGTCCTTGTCTACACTTTCCGTTGTAATCAACACTGGTAAGTTAACTGACTTTTGGTTTGAATTTCTGAGAAAATGTTTGGAGGAATGCAATTCACTAAATAAACTCTGCCTTACAAGCAACACCTACTGCGATTCAAGAGAAATGCCCCTGACCTTCGGGCATATTGAAAGTCTCATGTTTGGACTGGCAGGTACCACATCATTAAAGGAACTAAACATGACAATTAACAGCATTACCTTTACTGATTCCTCGATAACCTCCTTCACTGATTATGAATACTTGAACTTTGTAGTGTGGGTTCGTTCTCTGAAAAGGGGTTTAGCGAAAAACAAGTCATTAACTACACTCATTCTGACAGTAAATGACTACACTGAAGCTGAGAAGCATGGCGATTGGTCTCATCTATTGAGACAGGAAATGTTTCCAGAAAACTCGTCATTGACTGAACTCAATCTGACAGTCAACATCCGCAGTGAAGTAAGTGAAGACTGGTTACCAATTTTTTGTGACTATTTAATGATGAATTGCTCCTCCCTGAGAACAGTGAGATTACAAGTCAACAACCTTTGTGCTACAAGCAATAGTCGTATATATGACTTAAGCAAACTTCGGTTAAAATACCGATCATTATCGACATTTGAACTCTCGGTAACTTTCTATGGAGAGTAAAATAAGGTTCAAAAGCGTCATGACATTGTAGACGGGTGTTGCATTAAAAGTAGACTTGCAGACGTAATTAGAGTAATAAATACATGATGACATTGTAGCCGGGTGTGGCATTGAAAGTAGACTTGTAGACGTAATTAGAGTAATGAATACATGCGGGGACGAAGTAAAAGTGTGGCTTAAAAAGAAAAGGATTCAAAGGGACAGCCGGCTAGTTGTTGGTGCTGAATATATCTAACAGTCCTAACTGTTCATTAGTATAATGCCCAATTAGTCAGGGAATTCTAGCGCAAAACGTTTTGCATTCTTGTCTCTCGGTGCTGTATTCATAGATATTGTCAAGAAAGTTTTTTTTCAGTATGTCTCCCACTTCACAGGCCCAATAGGCCATTTCCAAGTTCCTCCGGGCCTCTGTTTCAAAATGAGGGTAGGTGCTCAGGCTTTTGATATGGAAATCATTTTTCATTCTCATGCAAATAAAACTCATTTTCACACAAAAGGTTGTGCATCTAGCCTCATTTTGAAAGTGAGGGTTTTTGGAACTCGGAAGTGGCCTATTGACAAGAAATGCAGTGGATAATATTGTTAGGGAAATTATGGAAACAGCCTATTTATCAAGTGCTCTTGAGGTTTGTCCCAGAAACTTACCCTATATATGACGGCCCACTTTCAACTTTGCCGAAATCACTGATATGTGTGAACATGTGGTTTTTCGTGTCGGCGTAAGAACTATCTGAAAAGTGTGAACATCAGCCTAAATGAATAAGGGAAATAGTTTATAACTACAGTCTCAACAAAAATACTTGGGACACTTCCACCCAAGACTGGTTTTTTCAGTTTTTGCCCGTCTCCTCGTCCTCCCAATGTTGTTCATCACAGTTAACTCACCAAATCTTGCACACCAACATTGGGACAGCAAGAAGACAGCAAAGTGCCCCAACATTTTTATCTGAGACTGAAGCTTAATACTCTTTTGACTCTCTTGTTTTTTTCATTTTAAGCCACAACGTATGCATTTTTTACTTTGGAAGCCGAGTGGAAATTGTAGTTAATCTTTTGTAGGATCTGTGATTTAACTTTGTGTTTACACGCGAGACCCTTGTTTTTTAGGTGAACTTCAAGTCAGTTTGACAGCTTATCTTGAATCATGCTATTATATACTGGATCTTCTTTTTATTCCATTTCTGTACATAGAGATGAAATTTCCTTAAGGGAATTCAATGTTTAGCAACCCTTTGAATATTCAAAAGTAGGTAGAGTTTGATTGTCTGGGTGAACGTAGTCCTGAATAGAACTGTTGTTGTCAGTTCACTGACAACAACACAACTTCACCCAGAGAAACACAACTTCAACCAGAGAAAACAGAGCTAGTGAAGAATGCAAGTGCATGCTCAGATTGTGTAACACATGGACATGAAAGGAAATGTGAGGGGAGAAAACAAGGAACTGTAAAGTTTATTTTTGTTGTGAATTGTTGTTGCTTGGGAGACATCTATATTTGTTTGACACAAAGCCATGATTTTGTCATTTACAAGTAAATTCTTTCCCTAACATTTGAGTTCCATAGTGAATAAGAACGTGTATTAAAATAAGAGATGAGACTTGCAAGTGGCATTTTTTATTTGAAACTGTAAAGTGAATTAGCTGGGTAATTTATTTACTCCTTTCAGTGGATAACATAGTAAAGGTCTATAGTGTAAATAAATTTTAAAATTTATTGACGTACATTTACCTGAGTGAATAATGCTGTGAAGGCAGCAAGAATATAGTAGATTTTTTATACATCAACTTTTGGATGGTAGAGGGCGATCTCAATTTATCCAGTCATTCTTATATGCGCTACAAAGAAAGCATGTGTAGAATTATTGCCCTTCTAGAAGTCGAGATATACTGTGTGAATATTGAAACTATAGCAACTATTTATTGAGAAAAAAATGAGCTTGTTTTTTTCCTACATAAAACATGTCACTTTCAAACTTATAAGTAGTTCTCTCTTAGTTCAAGATCAGTGCGGTCATTTTCCATTTAGGGTTTGCAAGACATTTGCCATACACTTGGAAGAGTATGGATGTATGGCTAATCTGTGCAATTATTCAACCCTCTCTTCCCTCCCTTACCCTGTCCTCACCCCTCCACCCTCTTACTTTTCTACCCTCCCCCCTCCTTACTCTACTCTTTTGCCTTCCCCTCCCTCAGCCTCATGTATCCATAGGTTTAATTTTCTTTGTTTTAATACTAACTTAGTGCTTTCTATTTGTCAGAACCGAACGGCCAGACCATTCCTATCATAATGAGAATTTCACTTTTAATCAAAACTAACTAGCCAGATCAGTGAGGCTATCCTGAATAGTTTGCATTAAAGAGACAGTTTTCAGTAAACACTCTTTGAAAAAGCCAATTTCATTCTCAAACTGACCGGTCTGATCATGGTTCGGCCACCCATTACTGACGTTTGGAAATCACCCTTAGTTGCTAGAATGCTTTATTGCAGGAAGTTTACAGGGTTGATTCCCAGGTGCCCTGACTAATAGCCACGTATTAAAATAACTGAGCATTGTTGGTACCACCTTTACCCCTCAGATGACTAGACCTTTGTGTGGCTCAGATGACCAAGTAAAATGGCAATGCAGTCATGTCTCCAGTAGGAGATACAAAAATATTGACCTTTATTAGTACTTTCATGCTGAATGCGTTGACACTTAAGTGGTTTGCTGTCCCTGTTGATTCAAACATTCGAAAGTGCTATCCAACAGATAAATCTCTATCTAGTGGATAAGTATCAGGGAAACAAATACTGCATTATCCACTGGATAAAGATTTATCCAATGGATAACATTTTCCACCTTTCAAACAACTGGACCCAGAAGAATTTTAACTCTTGATAAATTAAACGCAGTAAGCTGAAACAGTATTCTTTACAGTTGTTTTATTGCATATTATTTTCAAATAATTGTAATCTTTGTACATTCTTGGAACCTTCTTTGTTTGAAGAGTTCTGCTTTAAGGTTATCACTATATCACTTCCTTGGGAAAAGTCTAATAAATATAATCATCCACATAAACACAATACAGACTGTAATTATCATAATCCAGATCCACCAGGAACATGGTGTCTGTGTTAATTCCTCAAGTCTTTCTGATTCTCGTTTTAGTTTCTCAAAATTTGAATCTGCAAGCTTTGTTGACTGCTCCAAGGTCTAAAAAACAAAACACAAAATTGAACAGTAAGTTTTTCAAAGTTTATCTCTGTTGTATTTACATGGAGCCTTTCTAAACTGACCGATTTGTAAATACGCCTTCCTTGTTATTAATGCACATTCCTATTTGTTTTAAACATTACTTATAATTTTCAGTAAATTAAAGCCCAGGTCACTCTGGTGGGACAAGAGATCCTAATTATGACTTGCTGGTTCTAAAACAGTGGAAAAGTACATTAAATAATACCCCTTGGCCCAAGGCCTTGTTAAAAATAATGACCTCGGGCACTCGGTCATTATCTTTAACAAGGCCTTCGGGCTGAGGCATTATCCTTTATAGGAGCCATTTTAAAGCCTTAACTTAAGTCCACATCAACAATTCTGAAAAACCATGTTACCGTAGCTTTTAAACAACATTGTTTGGAATAATGCACGTCAACCAAAAGTGGACTTTTTGCATTCTTGGCAGTGGTTTTGCCACAAAAAATTTGGGTAATTCGTCTCTACAATAGTAAAGAAACTTAGTGATACAAATTTATATGGCTGTCACTAAGATTTCAAGTTGCAGGAAACAAGCAAGCAGGGAATCAAACAGGTAGAGATTTCATTTGGTTCTATTTTTATTCTGTTAAATTTATAACAGTAGGCCAGGGGTCACCTTGGTAGCTGATCATATATATGACAGCCTTCAAATTGTGTTCACAAAGCTTGGTATTCAAGGACAATGTGTTCATCATAACACTATTTTCTTCACAACCGTGTATAATAAAACAATTCTCATTGGATACCGTATTTCTTTGAATAATAGCTGGGGGTGATTATTCAAGGGAAGGCGATAATTCAAGGGAGGTGACTATTTCAAATATTGCTGACTAGAAGTCATGCCCCAAATATTTGTTCTATTTTCCCATTAAATAAAAAAATGATCACATCAGATAAACTGAACATTGGCATTTAAAGTGTTTCAAATTTGGTTCCTAATTGATTGATTTTTTGCTGTGAATTTCCGAGGTGTCTGAGCTTGAATCATCACTGATCAGTTTTGCTTAGTCAGACTCCACTTTAGCTCCATCCTCCAAGTTCCACAATGGCTATCCCTATTGGGTAACCTATAGGGAGGCGATTATTTTAAACATTTCCATCAGGGGTGGGGGACGATTATTCAAGGAAGGCGATTAATTGATGGACGGCTATTATTCAAAGAAATACGGTATTCGCAATAATCAAAGTCTCAGTAAGAGTTATCAGCTACAGCCAATAACATTATTTACTTGACCTAGTCTGTTCAGATGTCAGGAAAAGACCTCATCCAATAATTTGTTATTTACTGTTATTAAAGGACAAACATCCTAGTAACCTTGTTATCTTCTTTAATAATGTTGCTGGCCATGACAGATGTATGTTTTATATGCTGAGCCATTTTTATCATTTCCTCTGCTACATTTTCTTGTAAGTTCTGATGGTATTGTAGAACTGAGTCAATGCTTTCATCATTTGCATCACTTTTCTTGTTGCCTGTTAATCTTCAAGAAAAAAGATTGTCAAAAACAAGTAGCCTGCATGGCAGACACTACATGTACAGCTTGTATAGACTAAGGGTGAGTTCCTTTGGGATGATCCAGGTTAGAGATCACTCGGCCATTACCTAGTTTCAAATTGAGAGGGGCTGGGTACAAGTCAGTTTATTATGAGATAAACAACACGAGATCCACATGGTCAGAAAAAGTACATTGAGGTTATGAAAGTGTGGTGTCGATCACGCCAATATCGAGCAGGATACAGCTATCTGTAAACTTGAAAATCACTTTTATAAGAGATGTACATGTACGGATTGCCGGTCACATCGTCCTTACATTTATTTATATCTTCCAAAATAGGCCCAATAAACACGAAACTTGAGAATATTGCTAATTCACTCTTTCTGACTATATAGGTCTCATGTTATTTAGCCCATAGTAAACTGACTCATATCCAGCACCTCTCGATTTGAAACTAGGCAATGGTACATCAAGTGAACTAATGAATCCTTTCCCAGGGTTGATTCATTGAGTCCTTTGATGTGCTATATTCTGAGTGATCACAAGTCACTGATCCTTATTTGGATCATTCAAATGGAACACACTCTGAGGGTTTAGACAATGTGTGGGAAGGAGCTGGAACACAGGCTATAAAAGGCAGATTGTTCATCACTAACAAACAATTCATGATGCAGAAAATATTAAGTTGACACCAGCTGTGCATAGTTAAAAAGTCATACTGACTTGCTATCAGGGATTTGTTTCCATTGACTTTTATTTTTGGAGTTTCCACATAATACACTCTGTTTGCCTCCCTACAATAATGGTGACAAAATTAGTAGAGACACTTTGCCCTAAAGGGGCTTTCTGAGGTTTTACTGACTTCAAAAGGTGAAAATAAAGCTTTTCCTCCCCCATCTGCTCCATGCAATGTTGTGCTGCTGTTCAAGCTACGTACAGAAAACAACAAACACCCCAACTTTGAATTGTGTAGGGGGGAAAGGGTGCGCATTCTTTTGTTCTCTGAAGTTACCCTATTTGAGTACAATGTTTCAACAATTTTATCACCGATAAAGTTTTTGTTCTCAGAAGCCCTTGGAACTACACAGTTCTCCCAGGAGCATTTGAAGACTATAGTTTATGCCAAGTGTTGCATTGGGAGCAAACAGAGTGATTATGAGGGATTTGAAAATAAAGAGTTATTTGTTACAGCGACTAAGGGACCAAACTAGTAATATGCAAGTGAAATAATATTATATAATCAGTCACCTGTTTCGCAGTCCATGATTGTCTTTCTTATTGTCTGGAAAATAAGCAAGGTTCCTTGTTAACTCTTAACACTAATAAATAAATTAAATTTATTATTCAATTTACTTAAAAAAACCAAAGTATTTCATGTCACAAAATGACCAAAAACAAGGCAAAATGAATGTGCCATGATAAGGTGCCCTGAAAGTCCTTAGTTTTGTGAAAATATTGGGCTAAGAAAACCTTTGTAATGTGTCGAGGAATGTAAGCCAGTAATGTGCATGATCCTTACAAAAATCAACAAAAATAAATATCAAATAAACCAACTTACAAGTGCATTGTATCAGAAGTGAAATATTGTTAGCTGCATTATTCTCACCTTCTCCCAGAAGTTCACTTCTCATCTCTTTATTAATCTGTGACTTTGCTCTGATGTGAAGTTCTTGTGCTCTGTTTACTGTTTGTCCTTTGTCTGCCTCTGTGGTCTGTGCATTTGATGTTTGACTCAGTGGACGCACTAACTGCCGACTGGCGAGAAGTTTTTCTGTTGGTGATTTCTACAAAACAAAGTGAAGGTAAGTCTTATTTTACATGGATATACAATAACTGCAATAGAAAATTAAAGGGAACAAACCCTTGGAAAAGAGAATGTGAGAGCTTCTAACAAACCTAAATTATCAAGGTATTTTCAGAGCCAGTAGAAATTGAAGGGTGCCTGGATTTTCCCCTTATGACTGATGGTGGATTTCCACTGTCCCATAATTTTTACGTGCATATGCATGTAAGTTTTACTCACATAAATAAAACAGAAGACAATAAACGGAAAGTCACGTGTAAACGTAAATGGAATATGAGCAGACCACGCCAATCAAGAACATATAAACAAATTACCTTTGGTGTGACAGTTTGCTATAACGGCATGTCAGGCACCCTATAAGAACATGTTTTTTTATCTCGTGTCCACACTTACATGCAACTAATGGTAAAATACTTACCGGTAACATACAAATGATATACAATTTATTGTACTTGTATATTCTCTGATGAAAAGCATTTCCTAGTTATTCCTAAACAATAATTTTTCCCATTTGAATGCAACAACAGATGCGTATCTTAAGATTTCAAAACATTGATCTGTCTCACCATTTTCTGTGTTTCTATTAAACCTTTAAGGAACTCTACTTTCTTGCTGTATTCAGTCATTGTGTCTGGACTTGGTTTGCTGTAACAAGACAAAAAAATAATTAATATTTAATGTTTTGATTATTTCCAAAAATGTATCTTACATGTGACTCGACAAGCTGATGGAACCAAAATATTTTGATTTCCCAGTTTTTGAAAAGGTATGCTTTTTTAATCATAAGAGCCAGCATGACCTGAAATGCTAGCTACACTTATTGGTGATGCAAAAAATTAAACAACCACCAGTATCTTCATTAGAGGTTTTTTCACCATGCAAATGTTTGCTTTGAATTGAAGAAAGTTTAGTTACAGAGTGCCAAAAAGTGAAACTCGGAAGCTGGTATCAGCTAACCTCCAGGGCTGGGTTGTTCGAAGCTGGGTTAAGATAACCCAGGGTTAGTGCGAAATTTGAACTCAGAAATGAGAGCTTAAAAAGCAAATTCAATTTAATTCACTTTGCCTACAACTTGATGATTGGATACTCTAAAAAGAATAGAGAAAATTATCCGAGTGAGTGCTTTTCATTAAAAGAAAATGAAACCCTGGTTAAAATTTAACCCCAGGTTAGCATTAACCTCCTTTCGAACAACTGGGCCCAGGGATGTAGCTTAAATTTATAACCGATGGGAAATGGCATTTGATTGGCAGATAACAGGAGAAGAAAACAGTTGCCTTTTTAAAGACTGCATTTTTTTCAGCTGGAAAAATTATGTTGACAACCAGGTATTTTTCCCGGCTCCCGGCTATTATCTACATCCCTGACCACTGATGCCTACAGTACGTTAGAGACACAAGTCATCTGCCTTTCAGAATGTTGTATACTGCTAGACAACTTAAATTTAGCTCAGGCCAGCCAACCGCTGCCTTCTACCAAAGGGAGATGTCTACCTTTACGCTACTGATAGACAGGATCTAGGATCTAGGATCTAGGCGAAGGTGCCGAGGGGTGCGGGCCCCCACCTTGTTTTTACGCCAAACAGAAGCCGACAGGATCAAGAAAAGTTATGTTCAAGGCTGGAGTCCCGTCTAATCCAGGTTATGGATGAGCTTACTTACTGCACTGTAAAAGAGACGTTCACTTTTATTTGATAAAAGTTTAACAGTTACTACACACATGCAGTAACAGGAGAAATGTGCATATGGGTCTGGTTTCTATTGCCAGATTAGTTGATATCAATTAATTAGATTTGTCATTATAGCGCGTTTGTACGGTACAGGTATACTTCAGTCCGCAATAGTGGGGTACCAAAATTAAACAATGAACTAGCTATGTCCATTGTCGGTATACCAAGACGTTGAACTCTTTCCTTTAATATGAAAAGACTTTCTTCTCCTTTATTGAACTGGGTCAGGTACTAATAAAAAAGCTCTATTGTGATGACTAAAATATTAATAATAAATACAATCGACCCAACATAAAGACCCATCAGAGTAAAGACTACCTGTATCAGCTGTTTTAACCTTATTATTGAAAAGCAGTATTTTACATTAACGTATTGCTCGTTTAACCTTTGTCTTATTTCTCTGCATTTAAAAACTAACCTTTCTGACTTTTTCAGTTCGGTAGCTTGCCTCTGTAACGTTAAAACATACTGCAATATGGAGTATAAAAACTGTGAAAAAAATTGTTACAAACCCGACCAGATAGCTTTGTTCAAATCCTAGAGAGGAAACAGTAGAAAACAATTTTTTGATGAATGCTACAACTCACTTTTTCCAACCTCCAGCTTACGTTTTCTTTATTCTCCTGGATTTCTGAGGCCATCGCTTCGCAGCGTTCCAAAAGACGGCGGAAGGGTAGTACTTGGTGTAAGACTGCCCAAAATGTCCCGGGCCACCGCCCACCACTGCCAGTGCTGTAGTGGCTGTACCCTAGTAGACACAATGATACCTGTAGTGGCTGTAGTAGCTGTAGTACCTGTAGTAGCTGTAGTAGCTGTAGTAGCTGTAGTACCTGTAGTACCTGTAGTACCTGTAGTAGCCGTAGTAGGTGTAGTACCTGTAGTAGCTGTAGTAGCTGTAGTAGCTGTAGTAGCCGTAGTACCTGTAGTAGCTGTAGTAGCCGTAGTAGCTGTAGTAGCTGTAGTAGCTGTAGTAGCTGTAGTAGCTGTAGTACCTGTAGTAGCTGTAGTAGCTGTAGTACCTGTAGTACCTGTAGTACCTGTAGTAGCTGTAGTAGCTGTAGTACCTGTAGTAGCTGTAGTAGCCGTAGTAGCTGTGGTACCTGTAGTACCTGTAGTACCTGTAGTAGGTGTAGTAGGTGTAGTACCTGTAGTACCTGTAGTAGCCGTAGTAGCTGTAGTAGCTGTAGTACCTGTAGTAGCTGTAGTAGCTGTAGTACCTGTAGTAGCTGTAGTAGCTGTAGTACCTGTAGTAGGTGTAGTAGCCGTAGTAGCTGTAGTAGCTGTAGTACCTGTAGTACCTGTAGTAGCTGTAGTACCTGTAGTACCTGTAGTAGCTGTAGTAGCTGTAGTACCTGTAGTAGCTGTAGTAGCCGTAGTAGCTGTAGTAGCTGTAGTACCTGTAGTACCTGTAGTAGGTGTAGTACCTGTAGTACCTGTAGTACCTGTAGTAGCCGTAGTAGCTGTAGTACCTGTAGTACCTGTAGTACCTGTAGTAGCTGTAGTAGCTGTAGTACCTGTAGTACCTGTAGTAGCTGTAGTAGCTGTAGTAGCTGTAGTACCTGTAGTAGGTGTAGTAGCCGTAGTAGCTGTAGTAGCTGTAGTAGCTGTAGTACCTGTAGTACCTGTAGTAGGTGTAGTACCTGTAGTACCTGTAGTAGCCGTAGTAGCTGTAGTACCTGTAGTACCTGTAGTACCTGTAGTAGCTGTAGTACCTGTAGTAGCTGTAGTAGCTGTAGTAGCTGTAGTAGCTGTAGTAGCTGTAGTACCTGTAGTAGGTGTAGTAGCCGTATTAGCTGTAGTACCTGTAGTAGCCGTAGTAGCTGTAGTAGCTGTAGTACCTGTAGTAGGTGTAGTACCTGTAGTACCTGTAGTAGCTGTAGTAGCTGTAGTACCTGTAGTAGCTGTAGTAGCCGTAGTAGCGGTAGTAGCTGTAGTAGCTGTAGTACCTGTAGTAGCTGCAGTAGCCGTAGTAGCTGTAGTAGCTGCAGTACCTGTAGTAGCCGTAGTACCTGTAGTACCTGTAGTACCTGTAGTAGCCGTAGTAGCTGTAGTAGCTGTAGTAGCTGTAGTACCCGTAGTAGCTGTAGTACCTGTAGTAGCTGTAGTACGTGTAGTAGCTGTAGTAGGTGTAGTAGGTGTAGTAGGTGTAGTACCTGTAGTAGCCGTAGTAGCTGTAGTAGCTGTAGTAGGTGTAGTATCTGTAGTAGCCGTAGTAGCTGTAGTAATAGTAATAGTAATAAATTGCTTTATTTGCATGACCGCATCACTTTACAGTATTGCAAAAGCATGTATATGACAATCAAAATAAAAAAAAAAACAAAACAAAACAAAACAAAACAAAACAAAACAGCACTAATAACAATCTAGAAAAATTCGGTTACATTACTAACAATGAATCACGTATTTTCATGCAGGAGGAGACAAACTTCATAACTAACTTATTTACATGATGTTCCTTCGAATTCATTATCAGTTTTATGCTTTCCGGAGATGATTTCTTGTCAAAGTCAGGTATTATTCGATTGATTTGATTAATAAATGCCTGTCTCTGTACTGTGTATTTGTTACATTGAAAGAGGAAATGAATCTCATCTTCTACCTGATTTGAGTTACATAAAGGACATAATCTATTTTCTCTTGGCAAATGATCGATTTGGTATCGACCATGTTCAATCATAAGTTTGTGATTACTTATTTTAAATTCAACAAAATTCTGTCGTTCGTCATAATGTCTTAGCTGGTAGAGATAATCAGATGTAGAATATTCATCTTTAAAAGTTTTATAAAATTCTAGTTTTTTTGAATTTTCGAGGCTGTGCCGCCAAAAAGATAGATATTTCTCTCTCATTTCTGTGGTATATCGTCTAATTTTATCATTATCTAGAGATTCAGCATCTAAACTGGTTAGATTGTATTGTTCAAGCATGTTTATGAAATTGGAAAAATATCCGGAATTATTCATAGAATGTAGATTCTTTGACATAAGGAAAGACTGTTTGACTATAGAGTCATTATCTTTGTTGTTGAGGTAAACAAAATATTTCATAATTTTCTGATTTATCGGGATAAGCAGCGGCAGTCTATCAAGTTCAGCTCTGCAGGCTATGTTAGAGGCCTTATTGTTAACCTCTAAGTAACGTTTACAGAATTTGAGGTGGATTTTTTCTATTGGGAGCTATCCCATTTTTTAAAATCTTGCTTGGTGTACATTCCCCATACCTCGCTGTTGTAACTCAAGATTGGGAATACCATGGTGTCAAAAATTTGGGATGCAGTATTAGGATTAAGTTTGTTAAGAATTGTCCGCTTCCGAATACTAGAAAACGCGTGAAGGGCCTTTTCTTTTAAGTGTTCGAGTGCAAGTGTAAAGTTTCCCGTTGGAGTTAAACGTGTACCTAAATAAGTGTATTCTTGGACAATTTCAATTGACTCACTGCCTATGTTGAATTTGATGTCAATAGATTTTTTTTTTGGGCGTTTCTGGAATATCATAATTTTTGTTTTCTTGGGATTAATTTTTTAGCTTCCATTTGTCACAATACAAAGAAAGCGCATTTAAACAGTTCTGTAATCCAGTTTTCGATCTTGATAGAATAACTAAATCATCTGCGTACAAAAGTGAATTTATTTTTTTCCCATTTGGGAGAACAAATGGGTCAGATAAGGTGTTTTCGAATAAAAGTGGTAGATTGTTTAAATAGAGGTTAAATAAAAGAGGACTTAAAATACAGCCTTGACGTACACCTCTGGAATATGAAAAAGGCTGTGTTTTGTTTTCACCGATTTTGATGGAACATGTCGAGTTGCAATAAAGACTTTTCATGAGGTTGTACAAGTTTCCTCCTATATTCGTTTTTAGCAGCTTATAAAACAATCCTTCGTGCCAAACAGAGTCAAACGCTTTGCGGAAATCTACGAAACAAGCGTAGACTTTTTCCTTGTGATAATGCACATATTTATCTATTAGGGTCCTTAGAGTGAAAACATGGTCTGCAGTGCGGTTTTCAGGCAAAAAGCCAATTTGGGAATTATGTAATATCTTATTTTCCTCAAAATACAAGTGAAGTCTTCGATTTAAAATAGAACAGAACAGTTTTCCAAGGCAACTAGAAACACATATGCCTCTGTAATTTGTTGGATCACTCTTGTCACCAGATTTGTAAATTGGGGTTATGAGGCCTTGACACCAAACATCTGGCATTTTTCCGGATTGTAAAATGAGGTTAAAAAGTTTGACATAGACAGTAGTAGCTGTAGTAGCTGTAGTAGGTGTAGTACCTGTAGTAGCCGTAGTAGCTGTAGTACCTGTAGTACCTGTATTACCTGTAGTACCTGTAGTAGGTGTAGTAGCTGTAGTACCTGTAGTACCTGTATTACCTGTAGTACCTGTAGTAGGTGTAGTACCTGTAGTAGCTGTAGTAGCCGTAGTACCTGTAGTACCTGTAGTAGCTGTAGTAGCTGTAGTAGCCGTAGTAGCTGTAGTATCTGTAGTACCTGTAGTAGGTGTAGTACCTGTAGTAGCTGTAGTTGCTGTAGTAGCCGTAGTAGCTGTAGTACCTGTAGTACCTGTAGTACCTGTAGTAGGTGTAGTACCTGTAGTAGCTGTAGTAGCTGTAGTACCTGTAGTAGCCGTAGTACCTGTAGTACCTGTAGTAGCTGTAGTAGGTGTAGTAGCTGTAGTAGCTGTAGTAGCTGTAGTAGCCGTAGTAGCTGTAGTAGCTGTAGTACCTGTAGTAGCCGTAGTAAGTAAGTAAGTAATAAATTGTTTTATTTGCATGACCGCATCACTTTACAGTATTGCAAAAGCATGTATATGACAATCAAAATAAAAAACAAAACAGCACTAATAACAATCTAGAAAAATTCGGTTACATTACTAACAATGAATCACGTATTTTCATGCAGGAGGAGACAAACTTCATAACTAACTTATTTACATGATGTTCCTTCGAATTCATTATCAGTTTTATGCTTTCCGGAGATGATTTCTTGTCAAAGTCAGGTATTATTCGATTGATTTAATTAATAAATGCCTGTCTCTGTACTGAGTATTTGTTACATTGAAAGATGAAATGAATCTCATCTTCTACCTGATTTGAGTTACATAAAGGACATAATCTATTTTCTCTTGGCAAATGATCGATTTGGTATCGACCATGTTCAATCATAAGTTTGTGATTACTTATTTTAAATTTAACAAAATTCTGTCGTTCGCCATAATGTAGTAACGTAGTAGCTGTAGTACCTGTAGTAGCTGTAGTAGCTGTAGTATCTGTAGTACGTGTAGTATCTGTAGTAGCTGTAGTAGGTGTAGTAACTGTAGTAGCTGTAGTAGGTGTAGTAGGTGTAGTAGCTGTAGTAGGTGTAGTAGCTGTAGTAGCTGTAGTATCTGTAGTACGTGTAGTATCTGTAGTAGCTGTAGTAGGTGTAGTAGCAGGTGACAAATGATCTATTTGGTATCGACCTTGTTCAATCAGAAGTTTGTGATTACTTATTTTAAACTGGACCAAAATGTTGTCATTTATCATAATGTCTTAGCTGGTAGAGATAATCAGTTGTAGAATATTCATATTTAAAAGTTTTGTAAAATTCCATTTTTTTTTTAATTTTCAAGACTGTGTGGCAAAAAAGATAGCGGATATTTCTCTCTCATTTCTGTGGTATATCGTCCAATTTAATCATTATCTAAAGATTCTGTATCTAAACTGGTTATATTGTATTGTTCAAACATGTTTATGAATTTGCAATAATATCCGAAATTATTCATAGAATGTACATTCTTTGACATAAGGAAAGACTGTTTGATTATAGAGTCCTTATCGTTGGTGGTTCGATAAACAAAATACTTCATAATGTTTTGATTTCTCGGGATAAGCAGCGGCAATCTACCAAGTTTAGCTCTGCAAGCTATGTTAGAGGCCTTATTGTTTACTTGTGAATAACGTTTAAAGAATTTTAGGTGAATTTTTTCTATTGGGGATCTATCCCATTTTTTTAAAATCTTGCTCGGTGCACATCCCCCTTGCCTCGCTGTTGTAAGTTAAGATGGGGAATATCCAGTGAATATCCTTGTGTCAAGAATTTGGGATTAGGTATCAGGATTAAGTTTATTAAGAACTGTCGTGTTTGTTTCCGAATACTAGGAAACGCCTGAAGGGCCTTCTTTTTTATATTAGTTATCATTGTTTATTTAAGGTGGCTTATAACAGTTTTCCGATGACACCATTGTCTTTTCAAACTTGGACATTTTTTACAACTAAAGGCATTCACTGGACTGAATTGAAGTAATTAAGCTTGTAAAAACATTTTTAATGCGTAGTATAACGCGAAATATAGTGGCCAAGCACCCCAAAAGAGGACTGGAAACTAGATCTGGGCTGGATGGGAAGGCAATGTAATAAGATGACAAGACACCCAAGACACAAGCAATGCCAAAAATTCAGAGGGCAGTCGCAGCGCAGCGCTGGACTTTCTCTACTTCATCAATCGCTAACGGAGGTGTAGCGCTCTATTAAACTTGCTGAATGGAGAGCTCGCCTTCAGTTTGAACACGTACTTGTTTCTACATGAGTCAATCAGGTGGGTATAGAGCGGGCAAGCCAATATTCCTATTGTAGAAGAGAGACGCCCACTAGATATGGAGGAACTCACTTATTTTGTTTGCAGGAAATTACTTTTTTAACTGGTTATAATAATGGGTGATGTCATGAACGAGAAGTGTAGGAGCTGCTTGCAAGGTCTTTCATAATTGGAGGCGGGAAACAAAGACAAGTCATTCTTTTGGGTCAGGGTTAGGCACCACTGGACCCTCTTGAACTAGATCCTTGCGCATGTTAATACTAAGGAACCCACCAACAGGGCTTGTCTTTCAACATAGTACACTACTCTAGCCCAACAATACTACCAAGTGTGGAATAGCTGAACTTTTCTAGCCCGAAAGTGCCTCAAATCTCAACCAATAGATACAGTTGTACCATAACCTACCTAAGGATCAAAGGCTTTGATATAGACAGGGAAAAGTGATTTAAAGGTGGCTTAGTTAACGTCATTTATTATGGTGTGATTTCTTATTCTTAAATTTCTTCACCTTTGGTCGAGTTAACGTACTTCTTCATACCAAAAGCTTCATCGTGCCATGTCCGCTTTAATTTTGAGTATTAGGCGGTTCTGGGCGAAAGGGGGAAGAGATAAGGTTGAGAAGGCCTGATACTCAGTCTACGTCTGCTTATATACTGGTCTGTCAACATACAAGAACAACAACAACAATAAGCTTTATTTTCACAGCCATAAAAAGTTTCAGCTTCAACAGAATTCCATCAGTCATAAACAGAGCTGAACAGAAACAGAAACTCCAAACTTTTCATTCAAAACGTTTTTATCACCTACAAAGCCAGTTCAAATGTTTACAGTTTTTATTACCAATATATCGTGAAATGAGGTTTTTAAAATTACCTTGACGCGTTACTTCTCTCATATATTTTACTGACGTCAAACGTGAATTTGCACTTCTCTCATAACTCCTTTTGCTTAAATGACCGATTCAAATCACTCAGAAACCCTCTTTAACCTCTTCTTCCCACAACAAAGAATGACGAGGAATTGACAAAAAAGGATGAATTTGATGCATACGGAAGTTACAGGAACTTCTTCCGACAACTACTATTTATAACGAATGCGTTACTTGTTGTACTCAGTTACCCATGTTCTCCATTTATTTTAAGTGTAAAAGCGTATTTACAAGCTCCCAGGAAGTCTTAGCCATGTCCAAGGGTGACGTCACACACAACAAAGCTTCGAGTTCCTCTCTTCGACTTTTCGTCGGGGACAGCTCTCAATCACCGACACTGTCCAAAAGGATCCAATCGAAACTGTGGGGACGAGAATACTGCCTGGCCCTTAGCCTGAAACATTGCAATCGTTAATTTGAACAGTCTTTCATCCCTTACAGTAAAATACTCAGGGCCCTGGCTTGCCTTTCGTGGGATGTTTGAAATAAGAAGAAGTGTGTGTTTTTCCTTCATGGAAAGTAGCCAATCTAGATGATGTCTATTTTTCTTTCGTGAACAGTGGTTGTTAACTTGATAACGCGATTTCCAATTCTTTTTTTTCGTTTAGTATTTTTAACTTCGCGGACACCTGTGATTGTTTTTTCTTCCTTAACGCATAATTGTTATCTTTGCAAATTTTTGAGTCCGTCACGTAATTAAATAAGGCTGTGATATTTTCTACCGATGGCGTCACTATAGTGGCTTCTATGAGGGAGGTGACACAGAAGAGAAGACAAGTCTCGTGATTAGTCCATGGGCCATCTACAGGATGTGCGCCTTGCAAGGACAAATACTCAGCGCTTTTTCTTTTCTTGTACGGTGATGGACGCTCACGCTTACGTTTGAGTTGGGTCGGACTGGATACTGTTTTTTCATTACCCCTTTTAAGTTTCCTTATGTTAGAATTTCCACAGTTAAAGCAGCTGCACTCTAACCCACATTCTTGGTTCACACGCAAACATGGGCATTTCCACTTCCTAGGGCCATCTCGGCAGGAAACGTACTTATTATCGTATTTTACTTTGTTGTGGCCACATTTGCAAGATACTTCAATAGTGTATCCAAGTTCACTCGTAGAAGAGCAAGCAGCTTGCATGGTTGAGTTTTGACACCTTTTGCATCTACAATTGCGGGAACAAAAATGTCCCGAAATCACGCAGGGACAATGGCTGTGTCCTTTGTCGTCCTTTGTACAAGACGCCTTTTGGCCATCCTTGGCATTGTTCTTTCCACAAGAGCATACTTTATTGGTAGTTTTTGAGTTAAGTCCTTGGAAACAGAAAAAACAAAACAAAAAAAAAGGTGAAATTAGTAAAGGGTGAAAGCCTCAGGGCACCCAACAACTGTCTCCTTTAAAGTACGTTGGAAACACTTTTACGCTGTCCAGAGTTTTCTTTTTTCTGCGCCCTAGAAATGCATTCTAAGCGGCAATACAAAATTGTTATCGTTTAGGTCATTAGAGTTTCCCACAAGCAGGCCACAAGTTGCTCGGCAACTTTTCGGCAACTTCTCGTATTTCGAACAACTTCTTTCCTATATAGCAACTATTGGCTTTTTTATTAAGATTTCTCTAGAACTTTGTCATCTAACTCTGTGATATCGGAGCAGCTCTTAGTGTTTAAATTAGTCTTTGTTCCATATTTCACAATGTTTTGTATACAAGTTGCAAATTACCAGTAGAAAAAAGGAGACAAATACTCCTCCCCTGAGGCACATTAAGGGCGCAAGATAAGTCTGCGGTCTTTACAGAAAATTTTAAATGATTGACGCAGATTCTCACTCGACTGACTCGAGTGTCTCGGGTGAAGAAAGTCATTAAGCATTTTTCTTGGCTCATTACATTTCTTTCTTGATTTTAACTCCGGACAAAGTTATTAAGCAAAGCTGGTTGCGCTGAAAAATTGCACAAAAATGCTAAGAAATGGTACTTTTGTTTGTACAATTTGCATATTTTCATAACTTCAGACCAAACAAACATTTTGTTTTTCGAGCAACTTTTGAGTAAGTTTCGTTGCAATAAGCAACTTTTGATTGTTTTTGGCAACTTTGGAGCATTTGTTTGAGAAATAATGAGAAACTTTTTGGAAAATCTCGAACAACTTATGGAAAGCCCTACCGGTCTGACCGGTCATCCTAGAGGAACTTAAGTCAGTTTTCAAAATTACAAAGGCTTCAGTGTTACTTTTTCGAAAATTTTAGTTGCAATTTAACGATTTACGAAAGTGATGATTTTTCTGGTTACCTCTCCCCATCACATTTTAGAATCCAAAAAAATAAAATAAAAGAAAAATATTGTAACGTGGGAACTGATTTTGAAACATTAAAAATCAGAATTCGTAGGGAATTTATTAGGTATAAAGCATCGAAAATTGTTTATGAATGGAAGGTCCATCTAGAAATTTTTAGTCTTCCTCAAGCAAAAGAAAATTCTTGGCAATATTTGCTTCTCCGAACAGATATTTCGCAGAAAATTGTCTTTGGGTGCCCCTGGTAGCCTCGCCGGGTCAATTTTGTGCAATTGAGCATGGGACACCCCAGTCGTAAGAACAAGAGCGGTCGCGTAAAAAGATAAAAGCTAGAAAATATTTCTATATATCACTAACTTGATCAAATGTGTGTGAACCTTGACGTTCCTTTCATAAGCTTGTGCAAATCGTACTTTGTAGAAGGTTCCATTCAGGACTCACATACCTACATTTATATTCTATATATTCTCTCGCCCATTAAATCGACCGTAGTTTATATTAATCCCTTTGAGTATGGACTCGGTTTCACTGGCTTACTCCTAATAATCCTCCAAGTTTGGTCGATTGACTAAATCGATAAGCCCGTTGAACCCGAAATAATGCGAAATAGCTTTGAAGCCCGCTTAAGCTAATTTTCGGCAAAAATGTATACTCAACAGCTTTCGTATTTTTAGTCATCAAATTTTTATAATACGCATTGGCCACTCTGCTGCTTATAACGATCCCATGAACCTCATATTGCTGGGTCTAGATTCCTTCATGTTGCGGTGCAGCGGCACTTGAAAGTGAGACTAGTCGATATGAATGCTTGGAAAATTGGCTGGAAGGTAGAAAGGAATCTTTACAATTCCTTACACCACTGGACGCCCCTACTAAGGCTGCTACAGCTACTACAGGTACTACAGGTACTACACCTACTACAGCTACTACACCTACTACAGACACTACAGCTACTACAGTTACTACACCTACTACAGCTACTACAGTTACTACACCTACTACAGCTACTACAGGTACTACACCTACTACAGGTACTACAGCTACTACAGCTACTACAGCTACTACAGCTACTACAGCTACTACAGCTACTACAGCTACTACAGCTACTACAGCTACTACAGCTACTACAGCTACTACAGCTACTACAGCTACTACAGGTACTACAGCTACTACAGCTACTACAGCTACTACAGCTACTACAGGTACTACAGCTACTACAGCTACTACAGCTACTACAGCTACTACAGGTACTACAGCTACTACAGCTACTACGGCTACTACAGCTACTACAGGTACTACAGCTACTACAGCTACTACAGCTACTACAGCTACTACAGCTACTACTACTACTACTACAGCTACTACAGCTACTACAGGTACTACGGGTACTACGGCTACTACAGCTACTACGGCTACTACAGCTACTACGGGTACTACGGCTACTACAGCTACTACAGGTACTACAGGTACTACAGGTACTACAAGTACTACAGCTACTATCGCTACTACGGCTACTACAGCTGCTACAGCTACTACAGCTACCACGGGTACTACGCTACTACGGCTACAACTACTACGGCTACTACAGGTACTACGGCTACCACGCTACTACTACAGCTACTACAGCTACTACAGGTGCTACTACAGCTACTACAGCTACTACGGCTACTACAGCTACTACGGGTACTACAGGTACTACACCTACTACCGCTACTACGGCTACTACGGCTACTACAGCTACTACGGGTACTACACCTACTACGGGTACTACAGGTACTACGGGTACTACGGGTACTACAGCTACTACAGCTACTACAGCTACTACAGCTACTACGGCTACTACGGGTACTACTACAGGGTACTACGGCTACTACAGCTACTACAGCTACTACAGCTACTACAGCTACTACAGCTACTACGGCTACTACAGCTACTACAGCTACTACACCTACTACAGGTACTACACTACTACAGCTACTACAGCTACAGCTACTACAGCTACTACGGCTACTACAGGTACTACAGGTACTACACCTACTACAGGTACTACAGGTACTACAGCTACTACAGCTACTACGGCTACTACAGCTACTACAGGTACTACGGCTACTACAGCTACCACAGGTACTACAGGTACTACAGGTACTACACCTACTACAGGTACTACAGCTACTACGGCTACTACAACTACTACAGCTACTACAGGTACTACAGCTACTACAGCTACTACAGCTACTACAGGTACTACAGCTACTACAGCTACTACAGCTACTACAGGTACTACGGCTACTACAGCTACTACGGCTACCACACCTACTACAGGTACTACACCTACTACAGCTACTACAGGTACTACAGGTACTACAGCTACTACAGCTACTACAGCTACTACAGCTACTACAGCTACTACAGGTACTACAGCTACTACAGCTACTACAGCTACTACAGGTACTACAGCTACTACAGCTACTACAGCTACTACAGCTACTACAGCTACTACAGCTACTACAGCTACTACAGCTACTACAGCTACTACAGCTACTACAGCTACTACAGCTACTACAGCTACTACAGCTACTACAGCTACTACAGCTACTACAGCTACTACAGCTACTACAGCTACTACAGCTACTACAGCTACTACAGCTACTACAGCTACTACGGCTACTACAGCTACTACAGGTACTACAGGTACTACGGCTACTACAGCTACTACAGCTACTACAGCTACTACAGCTACTACAGCTACTACAGCTACTACAGCTACTACAGCTACTACGGCTACTACAGGTACTACAGGTACTACAGCTACTACAGCTACTACGGCTACTACAGCTACTACAGGTACTACAGGTACTACGGCTACTACAGGTACTACAGCTACTACAGCTACTACAGGTACTACACCTACTACAGGTACTACAGGTACTACAGCTACTACAGGTACTACGGCTACTACAGCTACTACAGGTGCTACTACAGCTACTACAGCTACTACAGGTACTACAGCTACTACAGCCACTACAGGTATCATTGTGTCTACTAGGGTACAGCCACTACAGCACTGACAGTGGTGGGCGGTGGCCCGGGACATTTTGGGCAGTCTTACACCAAGTACTACCCCGGCGGAAATTGATTTCGAGCTTCGAGGCCGCCATGTTGGTAAACCCTACTATGTACTTCGTGTAAGAAAAACATGTTTTCGTCCCACGACCGCAAAGCATTTACAGGGGGTAGGGGTCTGAACCCCTTTGGTCCGTCAAAAAACGCTTTTTTTTTATTTAGAACAGCAAGAAACTCTATTTTTAAGCTTAACCCCTTTGTTAAATTGCGATTTTTGGCATTATGAAGAGTTCCCATTTTTGAGGTCTAAAAAGGGTTCTTTTTAATTTAGAACATGAAGAAACTCTATTTTTTGCGAAAAATGTAATAAGGAAAAATTTTGAATTTTTGGAGCAAAATCGTGGGTTAACGGTAACCTCTTTGGAAAATTGCGATTTTTGGCCTTATGAAAAGTTCCCATTTTTGTGGTCTAAAAAGTACGGTGGCCCACAACGGCAATACACAAATATATATATCATATTACTGCATTCTATATCTTAGTACACAAACATATCCATTGGCTGTGCGAGTATATTTACCAGTACAATAAAACATACACCAGTACAACAATATGAATTCCAGTACAGAAATGTTAATTTCAGTACAAAAATATAAACTCCAGTACGGAAAGATATCTCCAGTTCTTAGTACACCAAATAACAGCTCCAGTGAAAAAAAGTATCAATCTCTCAGTAAAAAAACATAAGTTCCGGAACAAACATATTCATCGGTTGGGCGACTATATTCTTCAACAGTACAACAATATTTTTCCCAGTACAAAAATAAAAGTTTCGGTACAGAAAAATTACAAAAGAAAAATTGGAGAAATCGGTAGGTACTTCATATATGATTATTACCATGTACCTAAACATATGCTTATTATAGTGTACCTAAACAAACCTTATATATTTCATTGTTATAGATTATCTCGACTAAACACAACCATTCACCTCTATACAACCCCATACATCACCATCCAACACCATGCACCGCTACACCTCACCAAATACCACTAAACATACACCCATTTATAACAACATACACCTCTATACTTCACCATATACCTCTATACATCACCACACACCCCTATACATCATCATACATCCATGTATAACACCATGCACCTCTATACCTCACCAAACACCCATGTATAATACCATGCACCTCTATACATCACCATATACCTCTATACATCACCGTACACCCCTATACATAACCATAGACCTCTACACATGACCATTGTATACAAGTGTATGGTTATGAATGGGGGTGTAAGATGTTGTATAGAGGTATATGGTGATGTATAGGGGTTCATGGTTTTATACATGGGTGTATGGTGATATATAGAGGTGTATGGTGATGAAAAGAGGTATATGGTGATGTATAGAGGTGCATAGTATTATACATGGGTGCTGACATGGATGTATGGTGATGTATAGGGGTCTATGGTGTTATGCATATATATATTTAGGTACATAGTAATAATCATATATAAAGTACCTACCGATTTTTTCCAAAGTTTTTAAAAAATATTTTTCTGTACCGAAACTTTTATTTTTGTACTGAAATTTATATTTCTTTACTGGGATGCATATTGTTGTACTGGTGTATATTTTATTGTACTGGTAAATATACTCGCACAGCCAATGAATATGTTTGTGTACTAAGATATAGAAGGCAGTAATATGATATATATATTTGTGTATTGCCGTTGTGGGGCACCGTAAATACATGTATCGATCCAAGTCATGTAAAATTGTAAAGCAGAATCGAAGTTAGATTTGATAATTATAAAGTAGGAACGAAAGTGTAAGCCTATTTTGGCTAGTGCATGCACTCGAACCAATGATATCATTCGATATATGATATCATTAGTAACATCTATCTGGACATGATGCAGTTTGCAGTGATGTAATTATTATTTCTTCGCTGCCTTACAAATCATATTGAGTCTCATTAATTGTCTCCCGGTCGTGTAAATATAGGAGCTTCAGGACCTACAACGAAATATATTCGCCCGGTATATTCGCCAAACTTTGCGTTACTTCCTGTTGTCTCCAAATTTGGCGCACAAATAGATTTGGCTAGTCCCAGTCCCCGGTGGGTTATTAGCTTCACGCTATCTGAGAAATGCGGCGGCAAGGAGTTTGTTGCGGGTTTTGCAAAGAATGAAAGCTTGTATCGACGAATTTTGACCAAATACAAGTGAAGCAAATTATTTTGAAGGATTTTGGAGGATAAGAAGTAAAAATCGAGGTAAGAAAACAGTATAGAGAATCTTTGCGTGCAATTCGCCGAGCCGGCCATGTCTTCCACACATACTCTCTGATACTCTTCAAACGCGAGGAATTCCTTCCCGCTTAGCTTTTTACCTTCAAAGCCTTGTTTATTTTGATAAACTCTATCAGTAAATTCATGTTTGCTAGTTTTTAACCAGATATTTCATTGAAAAACTTAAAACTGAAGCGTCTTTTGAAGGTAAACAGCAAACCACAAGGTGTTGAATTTCGTTATGCTAATTAGCTTTAACCTCATTAGCATAATGTAACAGCGTCAGAAAATAAATTTGTAGAAAATTCCTTAGACTGTTCACAGTCCTCTATTTTTCTGTAAGATCTTTGAGATTGAGTGCTTTGCGTTACAGGCTGCTATCTTGCATGAGTGTCAAAACTACTTAGGGGGCAGGGACGGGGGCTGTTTGGGAGGAAGCAAGAAAAATAGAGGGACTGTAATAACATCACTGCAGCTTGCGTTTAGGAGGTGTGACAGGAATTTTACGCCTTTTACCATTCATTAATTAAGAAACTCCGCTGGTGATGAAAAACATGCCAGACACATTTAGCATCTATTACGCATGTTTACAAGAATAATATCTCCTTTCGAAGCAGTGATTTTATACAGTTTCTGGGCCATGCCTCCAAATAAAATCAGAAAACATGCACAGGTGAAACATTTTCCTAATCGAAGCCCTAAGCATGCTCGCTTCACCACAGATTAAAGCAATTAAATCTCCCTATAAAAAGCCAGGCATTTCTGACAGGTTGTCCTTTTTGTGTCGGAGTAGCGTTAAATTTCAGTTCATTTGGCAGAAACTGTGTTACAACATTCCCTGGCTGGGCTGCTTCAAAAGCATGTTGGCTTACGTGATTAATCCTAAGAATACCAAAAATCCTTCATGTGTTGGCGCAAGATGTGCCTTATGGTAGTACTTATGAAGCCTACGTTTTATAGAAACGACAACTTCTCAACGACTTGTCAGTCTCAGCAACTTAAACTAAACCCGTTGTCAATGCGACTTAACATTTGTTGTCTAATGACCAATGAAACGCCTGTGTTGCAACACACTCTGTGAATGCGAGCTACGAACTGCAAGCAGCTCTATATTTTCGAACGATTTTTGGGTCTGTTTTTCGTAGATATTATATATCACACAAAATAGACATCTTTCCTGGCAAAATTACATTCTTTGTTAAATTTTTAAAATAATTATGCAGAAATATGCCTTGTTTATTTTTTTTGTGGAATATTTTGGGTTTCCTGAGGCATTTTTAAAAATTTCTTATATAAGCTGAGTCTTAAGAATTGTTCTACTAGTTAACAATGCGAGTGGGAAAATACTATATTTGTGTATTTTGATTTCTTAGTCTGGAAATGTCACTGGAAAACTTTTGGGTTTTTCGGTTCCATTGTAATAATTAAGATCATAGTAATGACATGGTACTGGAAACGGTTTTTACCGTGAGATCCTTGGGCTTGATACTAAGTAAACGTTATAGTCTGATAATAATGAAACACATTTATTTTTCCAGAAAAAAGTCTGTGCGTGGCAAATTGAACATGAGGCACACATTGTAATCCTCAGAGGCCACCAGCATGCAAACCTGAACCAAACGTTTGCCTTAATCAGCAGAACTGGTAGGTATCATTGCAAGATACCAGGGTCCGAAATTAACTTTTTTAATACAGGCGCCAACTGGTGATCAAGTATAAATTTTTGGTCACCAGAGGGAAAATAATGGTGGCCAAAAATTTCCCCTCCCCTTTTTTCAAATAAAAGTTTAAACACAAATAAAAAATACATGGTATATATGGACATTTTGATGCTCAAAAATTGCACTACTTCCGCTCCCGATACCAGAAAGCAACCGTACGTGTATGAGTGAAGTCTTCTTTTTTTTCCCACAAATTACTTTTTAGAGATATAAAGCTGTCTGACCTAGGACATAGGAACAGAAAGCTATCTGCCCATGACTGAACTGAACATATCAAAACTCCATTTTCTTCCGATAATTACCACAAAACACGAAACATAAACATGAGTCAGCCTGCCATGTTGCTTGTACCAGGCCACAACCGTGGATATATGGGTGCAGTATAATTACATATACATAATGTACTGTAGCGTATTTCAGCTGAAAGCACCATGGCGACTTGGAAACATTCAACTCGTATTGATACAAGCCATTGTGGAGATATTTTTGTTGCAAGATTCGTTTCACTTTTAATTAAAAAATATCAGGAGGACAAAAAGTACATGTAAGACACCTGTTTAGCATTTTCTTCGAACATGAAAGTCCACAAGACAAGTCGGCAGCTGGCAACTAGCTATGAAATTCTGGTCGCCAGTATTGAATTTTTAGTCGCATTGGCAACCGGGAAGGTGTAATTTCGGACCCCGGATATTGCTACAAGATAATGTTTTCTTGAAAACAAATTTGCTGTTATTAATTGCCTGCGGCTTCAACAAGTGTTGAGAGGGGTCAAACGTTCCCAGGGTTCCCCGGCTGCTCAGCGCCTTCCGATTACTGACAGCCTTCTCTTGGTCATTCACCGGGCGTTGGACCTCAAGTTTTTCGATCATTGGGCCTTTTGGGCAGCCTGCCTGCTGGGTTTTTTTGGTTTTCTCCGTGCTGCTGAATTTACAGTCCCCAA